CTCCACCTCCAACCCCAGCTAGCCCAGAGTTTGATCTCCATGGCAACTGAGACATTACCTGCAGTTGGGATGAGATTGCAAAACTTGACACCTCAGATTTGAGGAAGAGAGGGAAAAGGAGAGGATAAGAAGGGGCAGGGTGAGTCATGGACAGTGTGAGAAGAGAGAGCTTTTAAAAAACAAGAGAAGTGACTTGATAGTTGAGAAGTTTTTAAGCTTTTTTTGTGTTTAACTTTTTTGCCTTTATTGATAGCTAATAGTAGAAAATATTGTTTTTGTTTGGGCTTTAAATTGGTAATTACTGTTGGCCATTAACCATGTGATGAACACAGAAACTCTAAGTCACTCTATGTCACGGAAAATCCAATTTACCCACATGCTTTCAAATTTATTGCCTAAAATATGTTCCAGAAAGAATCCAATAAAATCTGTTCAAACTAACACTTGAACAGTTTCTGCAGCATCTGTGAAATTCAATCCAGTTTCTGATTTGTCTTTTTGATCTTGCTTTTCTCACATCACCTTTGTCAAATGTCCCATAATGCAACTTTCATTGCCTTTGGGTTACTCAGCATGTCAAAACACCTACCTATAGTTTTCTATGTAAGGTACAACACATAATGCTCCAGAAGAGCAGTCATTTTATCACAATCGTTTCCTGGATCTTCACATCCAGGCTACTTTACTGTATAATGACTAATTATCCTGTCCACATGGCATCCAGTGTGCTACGCTGCAAAAGGCCATTACTTTTCATCCTGTGCCAAATTCTTTCATCTTTCAGTTTAAGAGAACTTTCTTTGTATCTTTTATATCTCTTTAGAGTAGTGACAGGATCTGACACAAAGGTGCAGTCCATCCACCTTCACAATGACTGCTGCAGCTCTCAGTGATGTGGACCCACCAGTCTACAACGCAGAGCCCTGTCTTTTCTCCCTCTCACACTAATGCATCTCAGGTGCCTTTCAAATCTAATTGGCACCAAATTCAGCTTGTCAAGCTGCTCAGTTAGCCCGCATTGTGAGGAGTGCACACTCAGCAGAGACGGAGAGATGCAAAAATCCGAATTGAATTAACTCATGTTTGTGTGCTGTTGTGTATGGGTGAGAAAATGGTACAAGTGAAATTTCTGCTTTGTGCATAAATGAAGGAGAGTCCAAAATTCCAAACAAAGAGATGGCATTCATCAGTGATCCTTCAAAAGAATCTATTGCAGAGAACCATTATTTGCATATTTGAATAACAAGACTCCTGCCGTGGGTCCACTGATGCAAACTCAGCACTTTGCTTTACACTCTTTTCTCCCCTATAGGCTTCGCTATACAAATTTCCTCATGTGTCCATCCACCAACAGCAGAGTGAGATATTTCTCTACTTTGTCACAGAAAAAAGGAGATTATAAGTGTATGATTCCCAGTGTCATTATGTCCTGCTGGCCACAAGACAGCATTATCACATTAATATAGAAAGAGTGCAAAAAACAGAAATCTATAACACTTTTCATCACCAACTTGAGAATGCAGTTTAGTTTAGTTTTTATATATATACTGTATGAATATATTGCTTCCCATGTTCTATTAATAGCAGTTGTTTTTGTCCACATGCTCTGGCTTATTTTCACTCTCAGCCATTGTCTATGGACCAAAAATACCTTATTGAGTCTTATGTGCTCTGTTCATGTATCTCTGGTGAATAATGTCCAGCCACCTGACCGCAGTACTGACTGGAAACTACAAACTAGGATGTATGTTATATACAGTAACACGACTCCAGCCCTAATCAGCCCCCCTGTGGCCAATTAGCTACCCTCAGCTTCCTCCTCAGCCAATCACAACTCTCAGCCATGACCATGAGATCACTGTATCACACAAAGACACACACACACACACACACACACACACACACACACACACACACACACACACACACACACACACACACACACCGTGGAGTTGAGGAATTGTGGAGGTGGATAGACCCTAGGCACTTTTTGTTCAGTTTTGTTCTAACGTCAGTGTTGCCCAAAGCAAAGTGAAGCTTTCTCCAAATCGGTGTTTGGACTCAACTTCCACTAAGCATCTTCTTTGGGGCAATTGTTGTCTGTCTGTCTGGTTTTCCATTCGTCTTGGTTGACCTGCCTGTCCAGATTTTCAGATCATTTGTCTGTATTTTTTTATCTGTGTGTCTGACATCTTCTTGTGCCCACCTGTCCACCATGTTGAAAATGTCTAACCCCCTGTGTTTGTCTTCTTGAACATTCTTGTTGATAGGAGGGAAGTGCGGTATGTCTACAGAAATGAACACTGCTGGGAACATGTGAAAGAGATGAGGTGCAGGGAGAAAGTATTTGAACAAATACACTAATAAAACATAAATCAAATAGTCGAGCAAGAAATCTGAAAAATCACACTTACAGTAAAACTGTGTAAAACTGTACTTGCACTGCAAGCACCTTTACTTCCATCAAAGGGGGACAATGCTTTCACTTGATACCACAATAAATCAGCAATTACGAAATCAACACAAGACATCTCTCTGGAAATACTGTATGACATGACATTTTTTACAAATCTTTGTTGATTTGCATCTGAAGGATATGTTGTGTGAAATGCTGTTGACTGTGAGACATTCAAGATGTTTTGTAAGGTGCAAGGTAGTCACTACAGCTCACCATGTTCCTGTCTGTTTACTGACAAATGGTGATGATTGTATTTGCATTACATGGTGTGAAGTGTACACAAAGCCAATATGTGAGAGTCCTTTAGTAAGACTCAGAAAAAAACAAAAAATAATGTTTTTATCCGAAGTGTATTTCAACACTTGTTTTTTTCAAATCATAGATCACTGTGTAGTTGTGTGCAGCTTAGTAGCGAGGCTGGAAAAATGACAGCACTAAAAACGAAAAATCCTCCTTCAAATGGCATGTTTTTGCCCAACGATTTCGTCATTGAGCACACACGATTTTTAATTTACAGTTAAACTCTGTGATAGCCAAACTGCATTATCACCTTTGTTCAACCTTAAATCTCATGTTTTTTTGTCTTACTGAAGGTGGGGACCAAAGGAAATGAAAGGTGTGAGAATTTAAATGTGACACATAAGCAAAAAATGACTTGACACACTGCAGAAAACCTTTTTCTGTTCCACTTTCCTGCAGCAAATAGTGAGGAAAGATTGACATCAGGAGGCAAAGTTGATGTGCTATTTCCCATTTCCCAGTGTTTTTGAAAAGGACTGAGTAAGGATCTAAATGCAGTCTGGAGAAAGATTAGACTGCTTCCCCAAGTAATCCAAAGCTAAAAGCTATTTTTCCTTCCAAAGCCATTCCATGTGGGCGAGGTGGACAAAATAATTCTTCATGCTGGTGCGTTAGATTATGCTGCACAGTTGCCGAAAACATCACAGCCCGGGTTGTGAGAAAGACCAATTTCAAAATGCGGGTCCCAAGATACTACAGTGACACGCACGCAGTAAAAACAATCCTGCCATCCATTTCGAATCTGACAACAGAACTGTGCCTTGTGCATGTCGCTGCCATCTCTAAAGTCATTTTTTAAGTATACAATTCCTCTAGATTTTCCCACTCTCTCCTGCTCCCTGCAGAGGTGTTATATGTCTACAAAATGACTGCCAAAGGCTGGGTGGCAGTACAATACTTCTTCTATGATTTGTGAGAGTTGTCGCAGGCAATGCTCAGTGTAAAATGCAGAGTACAGCAGGGTCTCTGTAGACATCATTATATTGATCTATACGCCATACCTGTGTCATTGCAGTGATCAGTGATGGCAGAAAGACAAAGACTATTGCCCCAATCAAGGCTGAACAAAGACATCGCCTATCTACAGTATGAATCAGCTGTCTCCTTACACTCATACCTATTCATAATTCTGCTGTTCAACATTTGCCATCCATCTTCACTCTGACAGCCTCTGTGATTTATTCAGTCTCGGCCATGAAGCAGATATTGCATAGGCTGGACAGAACAAGCCTGAGGGATCTTTCCCAACAGGATAGATTTACATCCATCCACACGTCTGCGTGTGTGTGTGTGTGTGTGTGTGTGTGTTGTGTGTGCGCACACGTGTTGGCTCTACAGCTGTATCCGTCAGCAGAAACATGTAAGTGTGCTGACGCAGGGGATAAAAAAGACACACCAACGCAGTCACACTGACGGTAACTTGTGGAGTGCATCAATACGGGGTCAATACAGCGAAAAATATATCAACAGGACCTTAGAGCCTTCATGCCTAATCTTTGGGTTAAGTGGGAATGGGATGTAATTAGAGCACAATGCTCTCATACATAGTTTGAATAGAATATGTGGGAGGACAAGAGCAGAGTGATAATGGAGGGGAATGTAAAAGGTCACTGGTTTGTTGTCAGAGCTGTCATCTGGGGCTTTTCTGTCACAGACATTTTGTCTCCCTCCTAATAAACACGTTAAATACTAGGTGACATTACTGAAAGTAATTTTACAGTAAATCAAACATGTAGATGTTAAACAGGGACCAGACTTTGAATCAAGTAATCAAACTGTTTACTTATAGCCTTGACCCTGCCAATCAATACTCTTTCTCTTCTCAAAGCAAACATGTCTCCTTATCTGAATAATCCCTATATTGATGTAATGTAATTGGTTTACTGAAGAAATGTCACTGACTGGCTCCTCTTATTAACATCTCAAACTGAGGTTTATTCTGGTTTTCGGCAGTAACTACTTGATCAGCAACAATTTTTATACTGCTGTTACTTTCACATTATTGGCAGGCTTGGTGTTTGAAGCCTTAACAGTAAAACAAGTTACATTCACATTGTCTTCTTTTCTGCAGAGAAACAAACCTGCTTCACTGCAAGGAGTTATCTTGACATCAGTGACCAGGGGGTTGATTTGATGAATAATCAAAGACAGCATGTCTATTATTACTTGCTTAAAACCAATCACAACAAACAAGCCAAACACTCCAGCATTTGTTTGAGTCATTTAGCACATAGTCACTCACCCCTGCAGCTCCTTCACAGACATGGAGATCTTCAGGTTATGTCCAAGAACATGGAGAGCTGTGAGGATGTCAGCCCACTGGACCATCTCTCCCAAAGGACCCCCCTTCAACACCTTGGGACTGAAAACATCTCCAGACTCCTCTGTTAGGAAGCCTACATGGATGAGGATCTGAAGAAAGACAGGGACATATTATGGCAGAGTTGAAATAAAAGTCTGTGGAGAAGCGCCACATGAGAACTTTATGGATTATCATTTTTGAAAGCTGAATACTCTACCAGTGCAGAAGCATTCTGGTTTATCAAAAATAATTCTTATAGTGTTAGCCATCATCTCTGGTGGTTATAAAAACATTTCTCTCTCTAAAATAATCACTGAGATCTGGGAACATGGTGAGATCACAACAGTAAAGACCAATGTGGAAAACTATGGTCCAATAATTTAGCCAGATTAGCTAAACCACTGGCTGTAGAAGAAAAACCAAATGTACCTGAAATGTCAGTAATAATCCCTCATTGCACAGGACAGCTGTGTGTGCATACAACTGAGGCATGTATCTTAAGTAACACTTTAATCAAAGACCTATAAACTGTGACGGATGTTTACATCTGATGGCTTTGTAACACTTTTACTTTTACCTTACCAAACCTTTGCTTAAAAATCATGCGATTGTCTAATTGCTTGTGTTTGCTGCTATGTTGCAGGATTCATAAATCTCACCAATTAACTTGTCGAGTATAATGTTATTACTACCTGCACTTCTGAAGCAATAAACCAGAATTGTCCTTTAATTTGGAGGAGTTTAACAGTTATGAAAAAAAGTATGAATAAGTTCTTCTTCCTTTAATAAACAATTCACTGACATTAACAAAATGACAATACATATCACAATACAATTTACTAATTATAATATGATGCTGTGTTGCTGAGTTGTTAGTTATCTTAAATTGACGTTTTAAAGTGGCAGTTGTGAACTCGTACAGTCCAGTAGTCTAGATGTACAAATCCTGATACCTGGAAACCCAAAGCAGGAATAACTCCATTTAAAAAGTGTGTTTCCCTGTTACTGTGGACAATAAGCCTGAAAACATCCACATCTTCCTCAGCATGGACCAAAATGTGCATCTATTAAATTTAAACACTTTACGGGCAACATGTCTTGATGAAACTCATAATGTATATATATTATAAAGTATATTTAATTTAATCTGATTTATATTATATTATTTAGATACAGTATGTGTGCGTTCTGAGAAAAGTTAAGCTCCTTGAAAGTTAAGCCTCTGCAGTTCATACTGTTTTAATGAGTTTGAGGATTAAAATCATTGGAATTTCAGACTCTTCCAAAAGGAAATTATGGAAACTGAAAAGTAATTCTTTGAAATCCTAAATGAATTATCCCCTCATGCACCGATGGAATAGCATGCATGTGTAGAAATCCATCATTATGGACTTTACTGTACAACTCATCTCATATGCACAGAATGTCTACACAGATAACAGCTGTAACTAATTCCTAGGCACCCATCGGGAAAATCCCTTTTGTTTTAAAACATCCTATAACACATGTGAAGGAATTATCACAGTTTATATGTTGCACTATTATACAACCTTGTTTTTACAGGCTACAGTCTCGTCACGCATGTGCACCTAGCAAGTGCATGATTAGTGCAACCCACCGAGAAATGAGCAACACGTTGCTTTGCACAGTGGATTAGACACAGCCATGTCCAAATGTTGCTCTGTGGAGTAATCCTGATTAGCTAACGCAGCATGAACACCTCCCGCTGCTTTTGCTGGCAAATGGAGCCCACAACTTTTCACCATGGACCATACATAATGAGCTTAGGGTCAACTGTGCGGAGTTGGCCAGAAAGTTTTGATGGCGATTGCTTGCCATGTCTCCCTGATGAAAAGCTCCCGAGAGCTTTTCACAAGTGTGCTGCAATGTGCTCTCTTATTACCCCTCTCCTCTCCAGCCACCTCGTTCTAGTGTTGAAGTGAACTGCAGGAGCCAACACAGACACGTGCACACAGAACAAACATACACCGCTCCTACATATCACATACTTCATTATCCTGGAATCCAGTCTGAATGAAAGAAATGGAGAGAAAACAGCAGTAACCCAGTAGTCAATATAGTGAAATTTATATACACAGTTTTGAGGGGTTGTGTGTTGCAGCCGCATACATGCAGTACAAATGCTTAACTCATTCCACTCTTGCCCCATAGTAAACGTTTACAAAATGTGTTTAAAACATTGGACAATGGTGTGTACGCAGCAGAGTCAAGCTCCAGTGAGAATCCAGCTGGCGTGAAAAATCCCCTGATTTAATAAGCCTGCTCTATTAACTTCTGCTTCATAAAAAAAGATAAGTGAAATTTAATTACAGTTTGGGTGGCAGATGGCAAGAGTGAGAATTCATGGCACCAACACTATTCACTCTCTTGACTTGGTAGTGGTGGTAGTGGCGGTGGTGGTGAGGGTGTATCACACAAATACTGGCAACGACGCAGAAATGGAGACAGAAGGAGCTGAATTTCACATACTGGCAGCAGGAACACTGCTAAATAAATATGAGAAATATCACGCAGCTGAAAAACTGCAGATTGGACTCTATAAAACTGGCATCCACACACTAATGCAAAGTTAATAGGGAGAGAGGTAAGAGTGCTTTGCAAAACCTGGCAACTTGCACCCGCGATCTAAACTGCTGAGGAGGGATTTCACTTCCTCTCTAATAGGCAGTATTTATCTTCATTTGCTAATGTTAATTCTGCCATATGGGAACAAAATTAGAGAGGAGCTCAATGAAACATATCAGAACAACGCTGGAGAGGTAACCTTTATATCACAGAGTAGGAATCAATAGCTTGAGCGGAGATGAGAGAGAGCCCAGTGTGGGTGGCTCGCACTGTGTTTTTCCGTGCATATCACCGCTACACACTCTCATCGCCAACACAATCTTGCATATTTGCTCATGCACTAGCTTGAAAATGAAAGGGTGGAAAAGCTACACAATGGGAAGTGAACAACAGAGGGACTAACTCTGAAGATAAAGCTGTACTTCCTCATAAACTCCTGTATCATGGCCAGCAGCCTCCCTCGAGAAACTGATCACAGAGAGAGCTCTTTATGTAGTGGACTTATGCTACTCCCAGATGGTGTGTGTGTGTGTCTGTCTGTGCGTGTCCTGATGGATTTGGGATTTTTGTTTGTTTTTGTTTGTTTGCATGTTTTTTTTTTTTTTTTCCACACTGACATACATCAATGAACTCAGAATCAGAACCCTGTGTGTGTGATTGTGGATGTTTGCGTGTGTTCAGTGTGGATGCCTGCACACTCGCCGTGAGCTCAAGGGATTCTCACCAGGATCTAAAGCAGCTCTCTACTGTTAATTTCCTGTGGGGATCGAACACAAAGACCTGGCAAACCCACTGAGACAGACAGAAAGGTAAGATAATGTAGGCGCTCACGCTCAAATGTCTCGCTTGCCTTTACACGCGCCATCCTTTTCACGAAACTTTAATGCCACAAATCAAGGTCTTTTCACAACATCTTCCCTATTCTGAATGTTGTTACGTGATTCTATAACTGGGATAAGCTGAGTAAAAGGAAAGCTTTTGTCTTTCATGCACTGTGAATGTTTTCTGTAATATGATTGTGTGTCTTAAGTAAAAATCCTTGGAAAGTCCTTGGTGCATACATACGAGAGCAGGGGAGTAGAAGTGGCTCTCAAGGATGTGGTACCACTCCATTGCTCTGCTCCGCTCCACTCATCACTAACAGGCTAACGGCAGAAGAATGCTAATGCTTGTCTCAGCATCTGTAAGGACAAGACTTTGCATGAATGCATGTGTGTTTGAGTGTGTGTGTGTGTGTGTGTGTGACCCAGTCTGCTCATGCACTGTGGCCCTCATGAAGGTCGCAGCTGTCCGATGGAAGTCCACGGGTGGCACTACAAGCTGGAACTGCCAGCCATCACTACTCTACCCTTAATTTCACCTTCTCTCTCATGCAACTCTACAGACTACTTTCCCTTCTTTATTTCTCCTCACGTCTTTCCTCCTTCCCTTGTTGTCATATTCCTCCAACCTGCTTCCTCCCCCTCCTCTTTCCTTCTCTCTTTTACTTCTTCTCCCCCTCCTCCGCACCACTTCCACCTCCTCACTCCTCACTTTACCTTCCATATCCCATTAGTCTCCTCCGCTTTCTGCACTTCATCAGTCAGAGGTCAATTAACTCTCAAGAGGGCAGATACAGGGAGAAGGGAAATTAACAGTTTGGCATATGCTGACAAACACTCTAAATGTGCATGCTCAGTGCACACCAGGCAGACAGATGCGAACAAAGTCACTCACTGAGACGCTTAAACCAACACTAGAGACGCAGTGAATGCACTGTCAGAGGTTAACAGGATAAGGTCAGTGTCTTTGAGTCTGTACTATTGTCTCTTAAAAACCTTTCCATTATGCCACGACTTATCTGAATATGTCTCCTTTGATATGCAGAAAAAAAAAAGAATAGCAATTTGTTGTTTTATATTATATTTATACACAAAATGTTCCATGGATGAATGGACTGACCCGTGCTTTTGATTAAGTCTGATAACAACACCGGGAACAAAAACAGAGTTCTCTCAAATGTATAACGTCTTTGAAAGTGAAGTGCAGCAAAAGGTTGATTGTATTCTTTCTGAACTTCACAAGCACTGAGGAAATGGGCAGATTAGTCACAAAATAAAATAAATTTGCAAGAATATTTAACATCTTTTTCATCACACATCATGGCACAAAATCTCTCAAATATATTTGACTGTAGAAATTCTCTTCTGCTCTGACTCTCAAATTCATCCTGACATGAACCCTGTCTGTGACAGGTGTCGACAAGCTCCTATGACTGGTCCAATATTTCTGAAACTTCATCAAGGGTACTTCTGGTACCCTTTGATCCACCTGCATCAACAGTAGTTTTAATAGCAGATACAATGGTCATGTCAGAAGTCATCCTCTCTTCCATCCCATGAGGCTTAGATCAGAGATCTTCATTTTAGTAAATTGGAGAAGATTAGACACACACTGTGTGAGTCTACAGCTTCATTTTTCAAAACATGGCAACCCCCCTTTGAGAGACATTGCAGTTCTAGAGTATGTCTCAGTGAAGCTGACTTCCCTTTCTATTTTTATTAATGGTATTACTATTTTCTTTCTTAATCTCACTCTTTCGATTGTCAAATATTAATTTGTAGCACAAATAGTAGTTGCTTTACTATGAATACTATGTTTTGTATTTGTTAGGGTTTTGCATTTATACATACAGACACAGCACATTTTCACTCAGCCATTCCATGCACTACTGACTTTACAGATTCCTCCAATCTAGTTTTTTGTGTTTGTTTTAATAAATTTGTCATAAATAAATATAAATTATAAATAAATTACTTATTTACTCGTGTGTCTCCTGTTTTTGTTGCAGTCTAAGAGATGGGCTGTAAAAATGGGGGCTTATCTATTTTTGTTTTGTTTTTTGGCTTTTGTAGAGTTCCTGGTTATTTGAAGTAGCACATTTTTCCATTATGTATTTCTTTTTCTTTTTTTTCCCCTCATGGTATTTGTAGGTTGAGTTGGATTTGTGAATTAAGTGTGTGTAACTTGTCTCTGGTGTGCCAGTACCTAATGTCCAGCATAGTGCATAAAGCACTACAGGGAGACACTTTTGGACAAGTATGATCTGTTTAAGTAAGTATAAGTTGTCAATGTTGTGGCTTTGGTGTTTTGACGCTGTATTTTATGGCTTGTGTGTTGAGGAGTGTAGAAGGTATTCTGGTGGTTTTTTGGCAAAGGTAAGAACAGGCTGTCCATTTCACAATTAACTTTGTTTATTTGGAGCTCACTCTGTGGTTAGGCTGTAGAGCGGGTTCCCTTTGGAATTTGTTTTGGGGGAATTTATTTTAAATAATGTGAGAAACTACTTTTTACGATGGGACTAACACCAATAAAAAAATAGTTTTAAAGAAAAAAAAAGAATTACATTTCTTAAGTTTCAACTGTCACTCTCTCACACACACACACACACACACACACACACACACACACACACACACACACACACACCTCCCAGTTTGTCCTTGAGTCTGCTGCTGACTGTTAAAAAGAATCATTTTGCTTTTTCTCTCATTTTCCTCTCCCTCTCGATCCTTTATCCCTCCATACTTGCCTCTCTGCTCCACTAATTTATTCATTTTCTGAGTAAACATCTACTCCGCTTACAATCAAAGAGAGGGCTAAACAAGGAAACAGAGCTGAATCAACAGAGCCCCATTGGAATTGTAAAGACTGCACACTCATGCAGAATGCTAAAGCTGCTATTGGAAGTGGGGATTTTCTCAAAGGCAAAGGTTAGGCGAGTACAAGGCCATAGTCAATTCACATCAGACGTTTTTTTTTCTAGGTCAGACTTAATTAAAATCAAACAGTGTTCCCCTTCTCAACGTTGAAGTGACTGCCTATTTTAAAGTTTAAATTAATCTTCCTGTGAGGGAGAAAGGTAACAGTTAAATGTTAAATTTGACTGGAACATCCTGTGATTTCATTTTCAAATAATATGTATGAGATTCTGCCCTTGGGTTTTATTGCAGTGATATCCAATTAGCAGTCAAGCACAAACACACACATATACACACACAGACCCAAACAGACAGACAAATGCACACATTTTTTACTTCCGTTTCTAATTATTGTGATAAACAGCTTTTGACAGCCAAGGCTAACTCTTACAAACACCAGGACATCTGCTCTTGAGATAGCAGCAGTACGTTGTAAGGCATATAGGCTGTTCAAGCAGCCACAGAACCATGATAGAGGATAACAAATCCCCTCAGTGCACTATAAGAAAGGAGAACATCAATCACGGTAACGGAGGACTATTTTCCACCCTTGTTAACTTATTTTAGAGAGAGATGGGGGCAGAGAGAAACATTTTGGAGAGGAGGCAGAATGTGTGCTCAATCTGCCCGCTCATATTAACTCATTCATTTATCATTATTTTCTTTAGTAAAAGATGATAAGTCTTGTCGGAGCAGAAAAAGAAATGTAATAGGTAGGGAGGCTTGGGGAACCTTAAATGTGGTGTTAAGGTTACATGCTGCAAAGAGTTTCTAAGACTCCTGACGTTTTTAATCACATAGTGCTTTCGTTGACATTTGGAAAAGTAAGCCTTTAAATTACACCCTTAGGTTTTTTTTTTTTTTTACCAATTTTTAATGAAGTTGCCAATGTCCACAGGCATTTCAGCCCTCCAGTCTTTGTTGCTTGCTCATCTCAGCTGTGCCTCACGACTCCCCTCTTTCCCTCCATCAATTCTTTCCTAATCCATATTCTACAGTATCCTTCCCCACTATCATCCATCGCCCTCTTTCTTTCTCATCTTACTCTTCTCCCTCTGGCACTGGCACATGGTTGGCATCTTGTCGTAATACCAATCATACATCATCATTCCTCATGCCCCCTCTCTCCCTTTTCATTTATTCTTTCTTTCTTTCTTCTACAAGCAGGAAATACCCAAGCACACACCACACAGCTTTAATGCCAACCGAAATGAGGGTTAACTATTTCACAGTATGATCGAAAACTATTTTTGAATTGATATATATAAAGACACACTAGAAGAGTAATGCAGACGGCAGCGATGGATGACAACCTATCATTTCCTCCTCTATCATTTTTCTCCTGGCAGCTATTATCATATATATTCTCAAACGGAGAACATTCAAGAAGAAACTGAAAAAGCTTTTACTGTCTAACTACTTGAGCGAAAACAGTATTTGCCATAATGCTTATGTTTGAAATGAAATGTTTTTAGCTAACCTTGAATCACCCTTCTTACTGTAAGGCATTTATAGATCACTTTGCATCTCTTTTGAGTACATACTTATACTTTCAAGATTGTATTGTCTGATGATGTAAGGTGCACTGTGTGCGTTAATGTTTTTTATGTGGAGAAGTTCAGCTCTGCATCATCTTTTGTTGCACTTTGCATTTATCCATGGCAAAAACAAAAAGAAAAAAAAAGAAGATATTTCGGTGCCTGATCACAGTCAAAAGAATACGCACTTCATTCAGCATCCTCGATCCTCCATCCTCACTTTCTCTTACCTTCTTCTGGTCCCTCCATCGTTGCTCCAGCTTGGCATCCAGGTGGTTGGCGGCCGTTGCCCACTGCTGTGCAAGGCGGCGGATTCGGCGCTTCATGAAGCTGAGGGACTCCTTTCCCGTCCCAACCTGGTCCAGAAGTACAGAGAGGTCTGTGCGGAAAGCAGCCTGAGGTGGGGGGGTGTTGATGGATAGAAAAGTAAAGGAGAGATAGAAAGAGGTTAAGAGTAAGTGTGAGAAAGTGGGAAATTAGACAGAAAGTTTTATATTCTAGCTATAGGTGTTACTCCCATGCCAGCAGCGTGGTTCCAGGGATGGTAAGGTCGATAGAAACTTTGTACAAACATTCATTGTTCCCAGGGGATGAATCCTACTTACTTTGGTGATCCACTGACCTTTTCCCTAACACCACCATGAGGCTGATATTCGTGGTTCAGAGTGAATTGTCTCGACAACTGCTGGAAAAGATTACCATGTAATTTGGTGCCAACATGTTTGGTCTTTGTGAACTCTGCTGATCGTCACGCTATCATCAGGTCAACATTTCAATTAATACTTCATAGTTTATCTAAACTTTTGGTTTTCTCTGCAATGACAAGAAAGCATCACAGAGCTGCTAGCAAGGCTGTAGACTCTGTCTTGTTTGTTTTTTTAATGGCTTACAGTCTAGACTACACTGCAAAGCAACTGAGAGCAAGTAAGAAAAGATGTGAAAGAGCAGTATGTCATCTGCAGATTTAAGGACATCAGCTGATGTAACGTGTACACGTAACTCTTCTTCTTATACGTGATGGTAATTCTGTATTCTCTGTAAATCCAAGAGAACACTTAGAGATTAAACAAACAACAAAGATTAAACAATTTTGCGACATGATGCAATATTTGCCTTGTCAACACTAATATTTTAAGAAGAACTACTTCAAGAAAAATTGTGCCCCAACAGAACCTTGCTCACTTTACTACTTTGTGCTGCTAGCTTTAGTCAAACAAAAGTACGAAAAAATGTTACATCAACATCCTGTGCATTTTCTGTGAAGCCTTTTCTCCTCTAAAAAACAACCTTGACTCAGCTCTATTTGCGTGCAAGAAACAGGGAGACTGTGATCCACAGTGCAGTAATTTGTGTCACAGGGTAAAGATGGAAATATCAGTTTTCATTTATGACATTCCCCCCTTGAAAATTTCACTGCTACCACAATTGAAAGGCATAAGGCATAAAAGGCACTCACTTTAATAACTATTTTAAACACGCATGATTGTCTTGCGTTCCCAAGCAAACACTGTAAAAAACTGACCAAGCCTGTGTGCAGTTATTATTCCATTTGGTGAACATCCAAATCCAAAGAACTTTATTATCACTGCACAGCCCAAGAAGGCACCTTCAGCTGTATTGTGTCACCAATGTGAAGCACAAAGTGTTTAATATTAAAATATACACCTCTTCATTGTCTTGCGATCAAACATAGTCAGTGTTTTTAAAAGTAAGAATGATGAATTTTAGAGTCTTTCAAAAAGGTAAGCAAGGAGAACTAAGGAGGACTGTCAAAACCTGAACTCTCAATGTATCCACGTTGGGACAATAATTACTCTGATAAATGTATAAACAGATACTTAGATAGACTATTAACACATACTGTGAGAGTGTGTGTTAATTTGTGTATAAGGAATTAAAGTTTTGCACTGCTCCATGACCTCAAAGTCAATGTTGAGAAAAATAGAGGGAAGAAGATAATGATGAGGGGGATGAGGCCTGTTTTAATTAGCAGAGAGTGAACAGGGTCAGATGAAGGTTAACTATTATGTAGTGACGGGGGCAAACTGCTCACGCTCCTATTACTGAGCAACATCTTCAGAGCAAAAGTACTGCTATCCTCCCGTTTTTGATTGGTACTGTGGACATGTGATTGACAATTTGAAGACCATTATTAACTGCTCGTCATTTTTAATTTTCTGTCTTTGTTGTTATTACTGGTTGTCTGAAGTAGAAGATACAAAGGCAACAATTAGGGATTAATAATAGAGTGAGAAAAATATTCTTCACTGTATTTTTGTTTAATAAAATATGCAGTTTTTTTCTTTTCTTTTTCTCTCTGACATTCAGATTTCATTTTTCTCAAATACTTATTATAGAAACAAGCAATTAAGATTTAAGGTCAGTATTCACACCGTGTATTTAGTTTCTAGTCTCCAATTAAAAACCTGTAAATTTCTTTCACCTCAAATGCAATGTGAAGAAATCCACATCAAATATGCCTTCCACAAATAATATACAGTGGGGACAGTAGTTTCATTCTGTCTTGGAGGTGTGAAAGCTAAATAAAAAAGGGTGAAATGCAGTAAAGGTTTCTCATAATTATCAGCTGCTTTTGCCTTAATTTCTACCTCTACCACAGTATTCTATGAATTTCAAAAGGAACAGTTGCCCTGTCTCCCCATTAATTTGTACCACTGCTGTATTTCCAATCAGTTCACCTTCGCTGAACTGAGCTCACTGGACTGTAGGTGAAGTTTCTAAAAAAAAAAAAAAAAAAAAAAAAAAAAAAAGAAAAGAAAAGAGGATAATAAGACAATCTAGTTTTCTTGTTTTCAGTGCTGTATGTTTAACCGCTGGCTCTGAATCCTGCCATCAGAGCTGCAGAATTTCCTGAGAATTTCGTCAGTGATTGGCAATGATGTCATCAAAACCAGTTTTAGTGGCATTCTGGTTGTAAACTCAATTCGCTACATGCTAAGATAAACAGAATAAAAAAAATAACAGTCCTGTCCCGCCCAATCCTGCAAGAAGGATTCCTGTCCCATATGGGGACTCGATTGTTAGCAATGCCAATTTTTTACAGTGTTTCCCACAGGTTGAGAATTTACTTCTGGTGGGTGGCACGACGTGTAACTGATGTGCATGCAGAGAATCATGCAGTTTAGAGGGGGAGACTGTAACCCATCTTATTTTCTGTAGCTACAGTTTACAGATATCCCCTAAACGCCTCACGTGCACCTAATCTGCATTTGTGCTGGTACTCATTCACATTACTGGAAGAGGTTCTTTACTTTTTCCATACTTTCTGAACAATACATGCTGCTCAGATAACTGTTTTCATCTCCTCTATCTAACTGGCAGCCTTCACTTACATTGTGTGTTTCTGAATATATCTACATATATCTGTGTGTAGTTTCCTCACCTGTCTCTTGGGGGCCTTTGCCTGCTGTGCGTGTTGTGTGGGGGGGCTGCTGTGGTTCCTCCAGGCCAGTGGTGGACAGAACCACTCCACCTCGCTCAGGTAGATGAGGAAGGAGCAATCTGAACCGTCGACACCGTAGAAAGCATAACACGGGTCCGACGTCCAACGTGCACGCATCCACTGTGCACAAACACGCAGCCACACACACACACAAAAACAAAAAACAACAGGTAAGGAAGGTATATATTCACTATCACCGAGGTTCCCAAACTGTTGGTCATGGACTGGTTCCACGCCACTGAACATTTGCTACCAGGTCATGAGAACATGGTATGATTTGGCAAAAAATAAATGGAATGATAATGATATAGCTTTCAGTATAACGTCATAGTGCAAGAAAGGCTGGGTACCCCGGCTCTGTTTTAATCAAAATGAAATTACCACTCACATCTACTTTCCCAGGACACTCTGGAAAGCGCGGGTCTCTTGGTACTTCACACTGGCTTGACGTCCCATCTCTCACTGCTGAAAAGACACAGTGAGTAAAAATTATACCTTTAGTTATATTCCATTATGTATGTATGTATTTTTTGTAGATTGGAGATCTTCCAGAAGACGCCCTGCCATACACCAGGATCCACTCGGAATTGATCAATCGATATTTGCTTATTGTGAGTGAAATATAAGTTGATTTACCCACCACCACTGTTGCTTCATTAGTCTACAGGCTCACCAGCTTAACTCATTTAAATCAGTTGGCTCTAATGTGAATATTCATTCTCCAGTGAAGTTAACGATTCCTACTGCAATCACCCAGTGTAATATTATCTATCAGCTCATTTAGCAACATATGGTGCATGAAAAACCTCTTTAAAATTCAGGTTTTAATCAATTAACTTTCATAAAATGACCCCAGACATCAACTTGTTTGACCCCCAGACTCATCCCTCAGCACTGCCAGGTTACAGTATCACTCACATTAACAGCTTCTCTCTACTCGCTTGTGGACATTTTATGGCAATATTCACTTTCTCCCTCGACATCATCATTTCTAGCGTATGCCGTATGTGCCGTCAGTGTCCATAAATCCCTGCGCTTCCCCCTTCGCAACATCGCACCATATCTGCTCTACTGCAGTGCACACTATTCACTGGGCCTGACAAAGCAGCACAGCCTGTCTCCCACTACTGCCAAGCTTCCTAGGGTTATGCTAGCAAGTACGTCTACTCACTTAGGCTGCACTCACTGCATTAATTGCTCCACTGACTTAGTTAACTGCCTCTCTGCTGCTGATGTGAGGAAAAGAAGGGAAGAGAGTGACAGAGGAAGTGAGAGAGAGAGAACTGGAATGATATCGTCCGTGAAGCAACCAATGCAGCTTCATTTTCTCATTGTTTTTCTGTCTTTCAAACCCCTCCCTCCTCTCCCTCTTTCTCTCTCTGGACCAACAAATTTGCCTTCTCTCCAGATTCCGTCTGTATCCATTTGCCTAATGAAAAAGAGACATTTCTCCACATAAGTCTTCCCCGGGGGCCTCTCTCCATCGACTGAAACACACACACACACACACACACACACACACACACACACACACACACACACACACACACACACACACACACACACACACACACACACACACACACACACACAAACACTACAAATATGATTACAATAGCAACCACTGCCGCAACAATTGGAAATGTGGTCAACTAACTAGATAAAAACTTGACTCCTGTTCCTGCAAGACAAAACATAAAAGCCTCATTGGTGCTTGAGGGGGAGGAAATTCTAATCACATCCTCTGTCTCTCTGTTTCTCCTGTCGCTCCCTCTCGCACATGCCTGACCATGAGATAAATAAACCGCCACTGAGCCGTATGATAATAAAGTCTGCCGGCAGTGTTTCAATTCATCTGTGATTAGAGAAAGCAGCAGTGTTTTCATTTTGGCGAGTGCTGTCCTCCCTGCAGATGCAGTGGGGAAAAACAAAAGGAGATGTAATGCTCATTTATTCTCATGTAAAGAGTTGGGCAATTACCCTCAAGAGAAAAAGTGAGAGGAGAATAAGGAGGAAAGAATGATTATAATGCTGTGTGTGTGTGTGTGTGTGTGTGTGTGTGTGTGTGTGTGTGTGAACACAACTCCCACAAGCTTTAAATTAGTTAGGTTTTGATTAGAAAAGTGCAAGAGCAAGACAACAGAAAACAGCCCAGTTAGTTGGAAGCATGACCACAATGTCTCGCATGCACAACTGTGCTCGACCGATGACTAGATTACTCATATCTATCTCACTATTACAACTCTTTCCTAGAACTAAAATAAAAATAAAATCAATCCACTGTAAATTCTTCCTGGTTTTGACTTACATCAGCGCTTGGAAAACTGCAGCAAACACACTCCTAAGTACTCTGTTTTTTTTTACAGAGCAGTATTTTACTATTTTGCGCACATGTTTTTGACAGCTCATTTTTACTTATATTTACTGGCACAATCAAGCATTGTTCCAATATTGTTTTTATGGTTCAATGTTTTTGTGTGAAAGGATGTGTAAGTAAAACAGCCACCTGTGTATTTTGGCTGTGTATGTGTCGGAAATGATTTGTGTCACGGGGAAAATCAGCTAGACGTCCTCATTTACACAAGTGTGTCTCTCTCTTGCTGTGCATGTGTACGTCTGCAAATCTGTTTTGTATTCTCTTCCATTCTCTTGTAAATAACAGCAGCAATTGAAGCTTTTCTCCAATGCAAGCTGACAGCTGTGCAGGAGTCCAGCTGTGCCTCAAGTTGAACATTACTAAAGAGCAACATGTAAACTGAGATACTTTTTTTTCAGTTGAAGGGATTTTTCTTTCTTTTACAGTTACCCTTCTCCCTATACCCAGTCTAACTGGAGAATGGTTAGAACCGACTACATCTGCATCAGTAATACATTGCTCACAAAGTACACAGACAGGTGAACTGATGTACAGTGTAACCAGACAGAGTGAGAAAATATTGTCAGATCCTTAACTCCATGAATTCCAGCTTTTACCGTCTGGTGGTTCAGGGCTCCTGAGTGTGAGATAAACTGCTACAAACACTGATTAATACTGTTGGTAGTTAGGCAACTTAACAGCAAAAGGTAACCATTGTCCTAATTGTATTTATTACTGAAGTTGTAGTAAGCATTGTGTATCATCTTTTTTTGTATTGTATCTTTTGCACTTATGCTGACATTAGTTTCTTATACCAGATTTATGTACTTCTTTTAGCACTGCAGGTTGGTGCTGTGTAAGTACTTTGTATTGTTTATTGGTGTAATGTTTGCAATGCTGTATTCTGCCTGTGTCACTCCATATATGCTGTGACCGGTACTAGGTGTCTATGTGTGGCTTTGATTGTTATTACAGTGTATGTTCTTAGTATTTATGGTCAATTTTGTGCCCACAGTGCAAGCCAATTCCTCTTTGGGATAATAAAGTTAATCAATTCATTTCTTATCGTAAGTCGTAAGAGATGAGTGGCTCGGGTCAGATGGTTGTGTGGATGTGTTTGTGGCCTGTATGCTTGTTTATTGTTCTTCTAATTTAATTGTGCTGCTTATTTATTTATATAGCTGTTTGTAATTTGGGCTGATCTACAGTGCAATGAAGCCCAAGATAAGTGTCGATACAGACTTAATATAGTATGTCAGATGAATTGCTGTATGATTAGATTGGCCAAGAGTGAAATACTCATGATATCAGTAACTTCTTTTGTCAGTCTTTATACTTACTATATATCTCTCACATATACGTATTGTATTGTATTGTAAATAAGAGGATTAAGGCATATTGCAGTGATGATAAAGATACTGCACCTCTTCCTTGCACCATGCTGTTTTGCAGTATTTGCTCCACCCTGATGGCCATGTTGGAGACGTTTTGGGCAATAGCTTGGATCCTCTCCACCAGGCCGGCTGGTTGAAACCTGCACACAGATACAAACGCAGAATGAAGAAGAGATAAAGGCATTTGACAGTGACAGTTACCCTCACACTTCTGTTATTCAATGTAAACTCAATTCAAAGCTAAGTGCCAAGGGCAAAGAGCAAACACCTCTGCATTGGAGTAGAGCATGTATCACACCTGCACACCCATGATACTCAAAACTACCAGCAGTTAAAAAAAAAAAAAAAATCTCTCATTACCAATTCCTCCTCTCCCAATAGTATCAGCTCCTGCTTCAGTCCCTTCTCTACTTCACATTCTTCCTCCCTCACTTCAGTAATGGGCCAGTCTCTCTTCACTTATTCCCCTCTTTTACTAGTCTCATTGTTGTTTCTGCCTTTTTTTCTCTAACTCTTTTCTCCTCTCCCCAGCCATTTTTTTCCCTGCTTCCCCTCCCTCCCTTTTTACATCTCAACAGATGTAGAAGTGTTAGTGGAAAATGCAAATTGGTAGACACTTGGTTGGAGCGTGAAATAGAAAAAGACCTGTGCTGCTAATACCACTTCCTTTGTAGGGTGAGAGACTTCCAATTCACATAATAAGATCTGTGGGAAATGTGTGTGTGTGTGTGTGTGCATTCGTTGTGTGTATGTGTTTTAGTTTGCATTTGTTTGTGTGCTCATTGTAGTTTTACATATTTCCAAAGCAACAGACTGCATGGCTGCACATCATGCAAAGGCAAGCCTGCATACCCATACATGGTCATACTGCTGTGCCCATTATGTCCATTTAATTGACTTGATTTCAGTGTACAAATGTGTGTGTGTGTGNGCTCATTGTAGTTTTACATATTTCCAAAGCAACAGACTGCATGGCTGCACATCATGCAAAGGCAAGCCTGCATACCCATACATGGTCATACTGCTGTGCCCATTATGTCCATTTAATTGACTTGATTTCAGTGTACAAATGTGTGTGTGTGTGTGTGTGTGTGTGTGTGTGTCTTCCTGTCTCTCCATATTGTCTAATCAGCAGATGGTATTAACCCTCATTAAAGCCAGAGGCTTAAATGCTGCATAATAACACATCATTGCAGATGATAATCAGAATTATTGATTGTGTATGTGTGTGAGTGTGTGTGTGTGTACACAGGATGGAATGCAATGCTGCTTAACAGCTGCCTGAAAAAGAACTGAAAAAATATCACTGAACTGGGGGAATATGCGAGGAAAGTGTGTTTGTTGCTTTACAAAAAACAAGAAAGCCATCAAAAGTCACAGGCAGTCTCCGCCCTTCATTAATGGCTTTATAAGTGTCACATGTAAGCATCGCTAAGTGTGTCGGCATCCTCTTTAATATGTTCACTACACAGAAGGAAATTTTAATATTGATATTGTGATGGAGAGACGGATTGACTGGGATGACAAGAGTTTAGTCTGAGAGAGGTTTAGTTGAAGGTGGCGTTCCTTCATCCATGTTGACATGTCAGAAAGACAAGCCGAGATCTGTGCAGAAACCGTGGGGTCATCTGAAGGGAACGACAGGTATAGTTGTGTGTCATCTGCGTAGCAGTGGTAGTGGAAGTCATGCAAGCTGATAATTGGACCCAAGGAGGTGGTGTAAATTGCAAAGAGGATGCCGCAGTACCAATCCTTGGTCCTGGTTGTCTTCGCCAAGAGCCACTGAAGGAGCGCCAAGTGAGATAGGATTCAAACCAAGAAACTGCTTTGCCCGAGATGCCCATATCACAGAGTACAGATAACAGGATGTCAAAGTGTCAAAGTTTGCTAATAGGTCCAGAAAGAAATGAACTGAGGACTGAGCTGCGGCTCTAGCTGCCCTTAGGGGTTCTGTCACAGACAACAGAGCTGTTTCAGTGGAGCGGCTGCTCTTAACATGTTGGAGGACTACTACTATATTATACTTTTTGGGGCCTTGCACTCAGCGGAGGCGGAAAGAGAGGGTGGGAGACAAGTTGCGGAGGTCACGGTAGAATGAAAGGGGAGGTAGTGGAATGGACAGCAGTGAAATGAATTAAATACTGGTCAGAGGCGTGGAGATGTGTGACTTTTAGGCAGTCTGTGGCAACATTTCAGGTGAGAATGAGATCAAGTTCTTTTTTGGCTTTGTGAGTCAGAGAACTGCATTTTAGGTCAAATTAATATATCAGGGACATGAAGTATGCAGAGCTTGGATTGTCTAAGTGGATGTTCATATCACATAGGAATATTAGCCATGTTTGGGAATGATAGACAAATGTGTGTCTGGCTCAACCACAAAATCACCCATTTGTCCCTGTGAATGGTAAATGACAGCCACAGAGACTTTTACCAGAGAAGTCACCATGACAGCATGGTAGTTTAAGGAGAAGTATTTGTTTGGAGGCAACAGTTGAGTAAATGTCCATTTTTGGAAATTAGGAGCGACAGTCTCTATTGATATAACATGAGCTTAATTGAACAAATCTGTGACAGGATTGATTGCACCCAGCTGAGTGCACCCTCTGAACTAGCAGCACAAAAGGTTTGTTTTTGGGGATGTGAGTTCATTCACACTCCCCTGCTGCCCTGAAAGTCACAACAACTGGCCAAAACTTGCAGTTATAATGCATAATTAATGTGCTTTTCAAGTACTAGCAAGGACACAGTACAAAGGAATATCTGTAAATGAGATTAATAAGAAGTAGCACTTTTGTTACAACTGCAGCCTCCACACACCCCTGTGAGCTTGTTCCGATTTTTGGATTGCAGTATAAGTATTTAGGCGCTTTCTCAATGATTCGTACGCCCTCTGAATTAGTAGTACAAAGGGTTTGTTTTTGGGGGCATAAGTTTATTTACACTCCCCTGCTGCCCTTGAAACACCCGGCAGAAACTGCAGTAATACTGCACAATTAATGTGCTCTTCAAGTAGTAGCAAGGACACAGTACACAGGAATATCTGTATATTCTACAGGAGTGCAATCCTAAAGTACATTCTGACTCATCAAACTCATAAGGGTCATCTACAACGTTGAATTTGTGCTTATTTCTGATCCAACAAGAAGACTTGGACCTTTAAAAAAATGGTAAAAAGTAGCTTGGTTCCTCACAACAGTAAATGATGGCACAAATTAACGTTAAGACACACCTGTCCAAGCTGAAAACAATGGGATACTGATAGACTGGTAAATGGAGAGCTTAACCATCAGGCTCAGCTCCCTCTTCAACAGCGTGTACTTTAGTGCTGCTGCAATACCAGCAGCATCGACAACAAGACCCCTAGGTACTTGAACCCCTTCACTTCACTTGCTCTCAGCCCGAAGGGGGCAATACACTGTTTTCTGGCAGAGTACCATGGCCTCAGACTTGGAGTTGCTGACCCTCATTTTGTTGCTTCACACTTGGCTGAAGACTGTGTTTTCTGCAAATGACCCAAACATATGAGGATATAATTGCGCCTATCAACTTTTCTAATGTGGGATCATTTCATAGTTTTGTCAGGACTATTCTTGCATTCTGTACCACAGACATTTTGAATGAATAATTTTCATTATTGTCAGTGTGATTATTAATCCACAAATTACTCTCCTGTCACCTGCTCACAGCTACAACAAAAATCTCCTCTATGTAAATAAGCCTTTAAACACATGCTTGGCATTAAAGCACAATACAGCACAGTTATCTCAATTAAAGCATATGACAGAACTAATTATAATTGCACTCAACACAAACATAGTGTACAGGTTAGTGAAAGTTATTGCCATATATTGTCTTATAATGAGAGCCAGCATTATATTAGGCAATAAAATTATATTAAAACATTAATATTATTATATGAGCATCTCACAAAAGTTCCCAGCTGTAGAGGATTACTACTGCCATGGTACCTAGTTGCAATGTATTTGGCCTGAAGGACATAACCTTTGTTTGCTAAGCTGGGTAACCCCTGTTACTGTAAAGCTCTCTTTGGGGGGCTTGACTGTGACTGTGCAAGTGGCTGTGGCCTCCATAAGACGCGACCTTCTAATCTCACCTCTAATGTCTGCTACAATGTGAACTCATCCCTGGAGATGAACACACAGAGAGGGAGAAAGAGAACGAGTCACAGAAGGAGAGACTAACGCAAGGAAATGGATGAAAGACTGAAGGGAGAGGATTTCACGATGAGATCTAAACAGGGCAAGAAAAAAATGAGACGGAGAGAGAAACATACAGTGAGAGCTGAGGAAAAACTGAAATAAAAGCAGGCAGAAAATAAAGAGAAGGAGATCAACCGTCAACAGCAAACAGACCAAGAGTACCAGGGGGACCTTTCTGTCAAGAAAGAAAGAGGATAAAATAAAGAGATCCTCTGCGCCTTTGTGTGAAAGCCAACAAAACAGCTTGACTGAAACATTAAACAATGATCATGATCAAAGAATACGAGGATATACATATTTGATAGCCCACTGTTGCATGCTACTTGCAATGAAGCTTCCTCCCTTTTAATGAGTGTAGACAGTTGGCTCTTTTACAAATGAGGGAAACAAAACAGAAATGAGGAAGAGCAAAGAGAAGACAAAACGGGAGGAAAGTGTAGAGGGAGAAGAAACAACATGAGGAAATCTACTGGCAGATGCCAAACAGAAGTAGAACACTGAGAGAGAAGCAGTAAGAGAAAATCAATGAAAACCAGAGGAAGTGTTTCCAAGGATACAAATAAAAATGTGTTTTCATGTTCTCCTTATTTCTCTTTCCCTCCCTCTCTATATAATGAGCTCATCCTCTTAAGGGAAGAGGACAGTTCTAGCAGGAACCCATCAGCAGAAGCTGTCCGGGGTCAGAGATGCATGTGACAAGGTGTCAGCATGTGTGTTTTTGTGTTTGGCTGATGTCCATTTGTTAGCGTGCCTGCTGACTTATTCCACTTGATGTCATGATGTTAAAACATCACACTCCAAAGTGCTCATTCCACTGCTTATTTTCACACATAGACACAAATGCCGACACTCGCATGAATGCTGAGACACACACACTCAGTTTTTTCATGTACAGTGTTAAAATTTAGAAAAAAAAAAGGTTGGAGCACTATTTGCACCATGGTTTATTTATCCCACTGATCTATGCACATCAGGAAAAATGAATAAAAGAAATTCAAAAAGAAGAATTCACATGTCTCCCATGCTACCTACTTCCAGCAAAGCTACAATATGACATTGACTTGAGTGCTGTGGAAAAGAAGGCCTCCCGGGATAAAGGTTGTTATCCATCTTAAGCTTAGATGGGTGCTTAAGGGAGGAGAAATAGGTAAAGCCAAGCCAGAGCAGTGATCTTCAGAGAGCATACGCCTAAGGGGAGACTTACCAATCTCCCCTCTCATCCACTGCACAGTAAAACGAAGTGAATCAACTCTGCATCCTTTTCTCCTCCTTTGTCTCTCCCTCTCTCATTTTCTCAGGCTCTTTGCTGTCCCTCTTCTTCCCTCCTTCCTTCCCTTCCTCGTTATTTTCCCTCCGTTTTCTGCTCTAACGAGTGGCTGCCCCGTGGGCGAATTGCAGGCTGGGGCCTCAGACATCAAGTCCCATTCGCCGCTACACAGGAGTGTGTCAGCACCAATGAAGCTCACACGAAGATGAGACTCCCGCCCAGTGGATGTATGTGTGTGTGTGTGCGTGTGTCTTTCTGTGAATGCGTGCCTGACTGGCCTGGATTTGGGATATGGTTTTTATAAAGCTCTCTATTCCCATTTGCTCCTCTCCCCGCGAGCAAAAATCACACTTTACCACGTCACTCAGACCAACCAACTACATTTCTCACACACTCTCTCACTCTGTGTCTGTGTGTGAGTGCAAGAGGAGGAGAAAGAGTAGTAAGAAAATATAGTAAACAGAGAAAGGGAGCAAGGAAGGAAAGGCAGAGAAGGTAAAGAAAAAGACAAAAGATAGAGGGAAGAAGAGAGGAGATATGAGCGATGAAGAGAAACTTCAGTCCAATGATTATCCCTGTTGTGACATTCAGTGTGTGTGTGAATGTGTGTGAATGTGTGTGAATGTGTGTGAATGTGTGTGAATGTGTGTGTGCGTGCGTGTGTGGCCATTAATCCTGCAGGCTATGTGCTCAGTCAGGGGTCTGTGCCCTGGTTTCACGCCCAGACTGGTTTTAACAAGTGTCACCTCAAGTGAACTAATACACAGAAACCCACATGCATGACGCAATTACACACAAACACAGACTAACACACACACACACACTCATTAAACACATCTCATTCTCCTTCTTCAGCAGGGTGCCATCAAAAGAACATCATCAAGACAAAAAGTATGTGTCTGCGTGAGTGTGTGTGTGTGAGTGTCTGTGTGTTGTGTGCCCACCACAATTTCCTTAGTCAATATCTTTTTCATTCTGCTTCCTGAATCAGACATTTCGCTCCAGCTATTACAGCTGCTTCAGTCTAAAGATCCTTTGTGTGCCAATCTGTGAGTTTGGATGAAGTTTTCAGTGATGTTTGAGTTTTATGTTAACTGATTATAACCCATCATAACATAACATCATACTGCATGATGCATTAATGAGTACTAACAAGATTTGTGTGCCTTTTAGCTTTGAAATGCAAGTTTAAAAACATGCTTTTAAAAATGGGAATTGAAAAAAATGCATGTCTTGTAAAGGAGTGCAGCAGCCAAATAATTCCAGTAAAGCAAACTGGTAGCGGGTGGCAGTATCCAGCAGCTCCTCAGACTGAACTGAGGTCATACGTAGGGGGTTCCAGTTAATTTTGTTGGAGTGATCACAGAGTCTACTGTTACTATCATAACATTGATCATGTTGCTCTGTGCTTTCACTTTGGCATTTTTGAAGTTAAAAATATAAAACACATTGTTGCAGCTCATCACTTTATGCAATATAATGAAATAATGTCAAATAATGTCATTGTTCTTTTCATTAAGGGTAATACATAGGGGGGTAAAATCACCAAATCACAATTGCATTCTCTGCTACAAATGTGGGTAATTGGTTTCATGCCAGTTGTGTGTAATGTGATGCCTAGCCAAGCTGAAGGCGCAGTTACTGAGGATTAAGCCTGGCTCTCCGCAGTGGTGGCTGATGGTTTTTTTCCCCCCTTTTGCCACTCAAGAACCCCAAATAAACCCTAGTATGATGCTATTTTGAACGTGCACACTATATTTTACGCCCTAAAAGACAAACTCTGCAAATAAAATACGCAGAGATAGTTAGTGGATTTGAAAATTAACTAGTTATTATAAACACCGTCAACTGACATCTTAAACAATCCAAAGGTGTCCAGATACTTGGAATTTGTAACCAAGGAGATCTTTCCCATCTCTACCTTCTATCCCATACAACATAGCATAACCTGCTGGTATTTTTAGACATTAATGTAAAAGTAATAATCATTACTTAAAATCAAAGAACAACAAATAGTATTCCCTACATGATGTACTTAGCGTAACTCTGTAATAGTAAAGTGTAATCCTGTCATTATCATCTAATTCAGAGAGATGATGCAATGAATCTATTCGTCATTTATCTTGGAAGCAGTAGGCTGACAACATGTCTGATGGTTAAGGGCGAACTGTTCACTAACCAAAACAGGATGGTCACACAACATTGATTTCAGCTTGTATTTAACCCTAATTACACCCTGAACATAACCCTCTATCCAGCCAAACTGCCCCCTTCAAGGCAATAACTGCAAATTGATTTCTGTTACAGTTACACACGCACCTACCGTCCTAGTTAGAATCCATGACAATAGACAGAGCAACACCCTGTAGCCTAAGAGTAGAACTGCTTCCTCCACATTAAACAGCCCATTACTAGACATTGATTGCAGTTAACACCGACGCCAGACTATATTAATCGTTCCATCCTTCCGCTCTAGTGCCTTAGCGCAGATCTGAACCTGAGCGTTTATCCGGGATCATTTAACAAAGTTCGAGGAGGTGAGGGGATTTCTGTCAGTGTGTATTTCATCACTCCCGCTGCACTGAATCCAGTCGAGCTGTTTGAAAATGAAAGGAGTCGGAATGAAGAGCATGTTAGACAGAAAAGACAAATTGGATGTTTTGGCGCTAAGGGGGCAACGAGAGGAGCAATTTGATAAAAGCAGTAGCAGCAAGGTCATACAAGACTTGTCTGTTTGCAGCAGCGATTTTGAGGTAATAGGCAGCAATTTCCACAAGTGACTATATGAGGAGGAAAAATGAGAGTGAAGATGAGAGCGAAACACAATAAGGTGCAGAGTTAAAAGGATGGAAGATAGAAGTCATGACTATGGCAGAGTCAAGATAGAGAGGTGATGCGCAGTATGAATGACAATGAGGAATATATCTTAAATACGATGGTGTCATGATATCATAAAAAAAGATCTTATCAGAATGCAAAAATAATGCTTATTATTAGTATTAACACCATAATATCCATAATGTATCAAATTACCGTATCAATTTCATACTAATGTTACAGTTTGTGAATCTTTAAATTCAGACTAAATGTCCTTTGGTGTTTATGCAGGATGAAGGATAAAGGTGTTCATAAAATATGACCTCTTTGCTGAGGCTGCTGCCCCCGCGACCCGGATCCGGATAAGCGGGAGACGACGAAGACGAAGACGAAGGATAAAGAATGGAACGTATCTGCGTCTCAGTAAGATGAGATAGTCGAGGTGGTAGGTGTTTTTCTTTTTTTTTTTTTACACTTCTCCTGTTATCATTGTAAGCTGAATAAAGATTTTACTTGAATTTACTATGACAAATTTGGAACCTTACAATTAATATAAAATATTTTGCTATTTAGACATTTACAATTTGGTAAAATAAATAAATAAATAATAAATAAATAAAAATCAGGTGTTATTCACAGTTGAAGACCAACTTCATGTCATTCACAGCTTTTGAGCCATTTGCAATTAGAACATATTTCTACAGAAAAAAGTGGAGGCACCAAAATAACTGACTCTCTCTACAACCATTTACATCTGGGGAGTACTGATTAATGTAATAAGGATTTTGGTGATTGTCGGTAATACAATAAAGCTGTAAAATTAAGGAAAAACTCAGCGTACCTGTTGATAGCAGAGCTGAGCTCATCCAGGCGCCGTGCATCGGTGGTGGAGGTGTTGTCAAGTTTGGACAGGCTGTCCATCCTCTTCAGAATTACCTCCAGCATGTCACTGATCTTCCTCAGCACACCACGTGACTCCACGCCTCCCAGCACTGAGTGGAGAGACAGACATGGGAAGACAGGAGATGAATGACAAGCTGGACACTGGAGTACATAACAAACTTGCAGAACAGAATGCACATTAATCACAAAGCCTGCAGCTCTTCTTGCTCACCGTACTGTAGTTGATTTTGGCTGCGGTTTTGTTTTGGACAACTGTGTCTGTGCACTTCAATGCAGTGTAGATGAAAAACAAATTCCCTTGTGTGCCAAACAATGTAAAAGTCCTTAATTAAATTTGTTGCTTCTGTGTCGCGTATGGGTGTTAGCTGAAAACATATAATGAGTAAAGTAAATGGACAGTTCTTCTTAAATTAAATTGTTTAAAAAAGCTGCCACTTCCTTTTAATGGGTTTGTAAGACAACATTTTTGTCTAATAGCTTATAAGCCTAAATGACAAAATGGGGCTGCAGTAGCGAACCGTATCAGCTGTGGATTCACCCCATTTACCCACTCAAACGTTGGTGTTCGTCATGGACAATGCTCCAAAAGGAAGCAATAAATCAAAATCCAAGTGTGAAATCCAAACAGTATCATAGTACGCAAATCACATAGTAAGTCCTCTCTGAGTAGGACAGATATACAATGTGATTTAGGTAGAACCTTACGAATGTTTATGACGAAGTACCCAGCAGAATCTTCACACATACAGATGTGATATGGCTCAACTAAAGATAACCTTATTTGGACATGCAGTACATATTTACGTACTGTAGTTCTAGGGTTAAATGTGGCCACCAGGAAGGAATCCTTCACAACTGGATGGCATTACTTAGTGTTCAGCTTGTGGTGTTATCTCTTTTCTCTTTGACGCATCATGCTTCAATAAATACTTCTGCTCAAGCTATCTTGGTATCCCCTCCTGAACAATTCTTCCATCTGCTCACAAGATTTCCATCACGGCTTTGAGTTGATGTAAGGCTGTCAGGTGTCATATTTTTTTTGCAGCTGCAATGAACATCCAAAATGCTGACACACACTCACACAGTCCCTGAAGAAATATCCCATCCCCTACCATAATACCACTTTAACCCTATGAGAGCATCTCCTCTTCACTCCAGCCTGTGTTATTCCTCCATCTTAAAGTCTAAAAGCCAACACTTTAACCTGTGTATTTATAGCTTTAATTCTTGTTTCCTCTGCCTACAGCAGTGCATGTTGCCCACTGCTTTATTTTGATATTCATCGTAAACTGGGTTTTGTTTAGGCCAGACACCCCGACACTCGGGAGTAGGATGTCTGAATACAAGCTTACCTCCATATACTCTGATACCCTTTGATATGAGAATAAGACTGAGTTATGAAAAGCCAGGAAGCTAATTATGCTGAGGCACTTTTTCTTGCTTCTTTCTCTGTCTGTGTCTGTGTGTTGGCCAAGTTATTTATTTCGCCTACCATAGCAGAGAGGGCTGCCTGTGGACAGAAAGGATGCAGCTGTGTATAAAGATGAATGCGCTGGCCATCAGAGTTGAAGAGTGAGTCTTAACACAAATGAGCACGCACACACCGACAGTGAGGGAGAATATACTCTGACTGCACAAAAGGTGTAGCAGACCTCATTAGAATAATTACACCGACTCTGCCAGGGTCACTGTGTCTGTGAATTCGGTCATAATGGCCCAGAACAAGGAAGGTGACTGAAAGGTGGAGACACAGATGGAAAGCCTTTTCATTTTATGTCTTTGCAGAATTAATCTTTACTGTACGTCTTACTCATCGTCTTTGAGTGCTCACAGAAAAAAAGTGAAACTCCAAAGACTCAGAGATAAGAATAATTGTGGCTCAAGATGCAGTTTATCCTTTTTTTTCCACTTCAAGCTAATGGTAAAGGGGTGAGTCAGGTAAGACAAGAAACAGCAAATCACATGTATTACCTATAATGTGGTGAGAGATGCTTATTCTTTCAAGCACCAGAGCAACAAATAGTACTATATAGAAATATTTTATATAGTTTCTTTTTTTCAGCAACATTAATTAATATAAATCAAATGTACCCTGTATAAAGCATCAACATGCTGTGCTGTTACATCACCTCCTTTATCTACTATGACACCCTTTACACCTGCAATCAACATGTGTCTTGGATGATCAGATACAATGTTATTTATACTGATTATTCCTATTTATTTGATCTTCTTCATTGTATTGTTTTTACTTCTTCTTTGTCATGTTCTTATTTTCATTTTATTTGTCTTGTCTGGAGTTATTAAATTTGTAAAACACTTTGTAATTTTGTTAAAAAAAAGTGCTATATAAATAAAGTTTATTTTTAATATCCAACATTCATGTGAATATGCTATGGAATAAAATCCACCTTCCAACACATCTGAAGCTCACTAATTAACATGTTATCTCCACAAGTTGTACTTTTACGAGGGTTATGTGCTGTATTATTTCGTAGCTGGAAGCACTAGGCTTCTCTAATAATATGTCATCAGTGGATATATCATTGTGTGTGCAAATCCAATAAGGAGATAAACGCAAATTAGACAGGTGTCAGAAAACGTGAAGTGTAAAATACAACACTTGTCAAAAATGGACTGTCAGGATGCTGGCAGATGGTGAACAAGAAAAATTAGGTGTTCATAAAATATGACTTGGAAAAAAAAGTCTTGATAATAATGAAAAACTGATTTCAGTGTGTACACTGTAGATGCATTTTAATGCCAGGTGCAATTATAACCAAAGCTTATAAAAAGTCAACACAATCCAAACACTGCCTCCCATGATAACGCAAAGTAAAGAGAGCCAAGGGAGATCTGTCAACTTCAATCTGATACCATCATTAAATCTTCAGTAACCACACACGATGCAGTAAACAGCCTAATAGGATATAGCTCAGGACATGAGGGACACAAAGGTCAGAGTGTATTCTCCAAGACTCCCATCAGAGCACTTGGTAGGGCCCATATTGACACCGAAAAACACCTGGATTACGCTGTCCGACCACTCTGTCACACCTCATGTCTGCTGCTTGACAGGCAATTACAGCCAATGGGCTCCAGTGCCTAACAGCACCGATGCAAGGTCATTGTCTGTCTCGATCTCCTCCAGCAGCAGATGGAAACCTAAGTTCAGTGAGTTATCTCCACAGCGACAGATGTATTCGTCCGAGACTGACAGTGTCATGTCCTTTGCCTGTGATGGATCGCTGTGTCAGGGTGTGCCGATGGGTCGTTCAGGTGACATCTTTGTGACTGGCTGATAATGGATAGCATCCATGTTAAGGGTCAAGCAAATTGAAGGAGTGGCCAAGCTGAGAAAATGATAATTTATGATTAAGGTTGAATAAAGATTCAGTGCTTCTCTCAGAAATTATAGTCCTGGCAAAGCCTCTGAAAAAGCATTAGCACCCACACACACACTAAAATCATGCTACTTTCAATTACTGTTTAAAATGGGCGAATCCCTTTATGCTTGGCTGTTAATAAAACTACTATATGAGAGGATATAAGATTAGAAAAAAAACACCAAAGTAATATCACAATACCCTTGCTGATAGATAACAGACACAAATGGCTGTGATGTTCAGGAGCGCAGCAAAATGAGCAAATGGGAATGTTTCAACAAACCCTAAAAAAGGTACAAGAGATACAAAAAGTCAATGAGTAGGCTGCATCTTTCACATGTTCCCATGGTCTCATGTATCAAATATAATTTATGTCAGGGAGCTAATTGTTCTCTGTCAAACTTTTTGTGTCAAAATTTAGATAAAGAAGCTCCCTGGATGGCAAATAACCAGCTGTAGCAAATGAGGTCTTCCTTTGAAAAGCAGATCCTTCACTGTGCACAGTGATGAAAGACTCTTTTTTAATGTGTTTGACCAAGGTGACCAAATACCAAATCAAAAGGATGAGTACCAATATCTCAATAGCTTCCTTGAATGACACAATTATATGGAAAATGACTGCCCTCATCAGATGAAACCTCATTCAGATCTCACTGGTGCAATGTAAGGACACTGTGACCGAACACACTGTATGTAATGGGAAAGAAAGAAGATAAACAGCAGCAATAACATTACTGCAGCGATGGAGATGGTTTGACTTGCTCAAGCATAAAGGCGGTGGAGTCAGAATCAGGATTGTGTGTGTGGGTGACTTTGACATTGCAAGCACAAGACCACCTTTTAAAAACTGATAACAGAAATGCAAAAATCAGGATGTGAAAGACAAGAACTAACAAACGAAGGATGAACAAAGAACACGGCCAAGAATCAAAATTAAAAGTAGCATCTAATTTCCCTCTCTGGGTATCCGTATTGAGCCTCGAGATATTGTTTGTAGGCTCCTTCTGATCACCCTATCACTGATCACAGATTACATGGAAATTAATAAAAGAGCTCTCATAGGCCCTTCACTGGTGCAGAGGTTAGCTCATTATTTGGGCAATGTATTGACAAGTTGTGAGCGCTCTGTACAATAATAGGTCTGAAGTCAGAGGAAAACCTTGCACAGCAAAGAATCAGCTTTAAGGGAAAAAAGCAGTCATTTCTTTATTTTTAACCACAACATTTTTGTGATGCAACACAATAGCTTATGAACAAATTTAACTGTTCATCGTAAAGCAAGACAATTTACTGACCGCAAAAGAGCCAAATATCTTTCAGTTCTAACTGCAGTGTTGAAACAAAAGGGCCGAAAGTGGAATTATAATGTTTCTGAACTACAGCAGTAATTTTTTTTAATGACTATAAAACCAAAGAGACCATAACTGATGCCACAGATGTCAGAAGCGTCCAGATAAGAGTTCACAGATGAAAAAAAAAAAAAAAAAAAAAAAAATCACATTCAGCCTCTATGAATACACATATGTACATTTGGAAAATTACCAATGCAAATGCAATCAGTCACAGGCATGATACAAATTCCATTACTTGGTGGTTATTTCACTGGCATTATGACACACTGAGACCTAAGTTGCATTAAGGTCCTTGCTGAAAGCAAATATAACTCTGAATTACAGCAGCTTATAATAGTGATGGTTGCCTCA